AATTTAATATAATATATGTACCATCTATACCAAACATAAAGTTTCAGTAGCTCATGGAAATAACTTCTGAGAAAGTAGGGGTCATGGGCTTGCGCAAATCCAAACTGTTGGGAAGTCAAACTTTTGATAGCAGATTGGAAGGCGTCTCCAGCAGCACAGGGTTGTAAGGAGAACAGAGAACTTCATCTGCTGAGTTTGTGTTTGCCATACCATTTCTTATGCTACCACTCTGTCCCTGAAGTAGTTTGTCAGACTATAGAACTTCCCACATATGTAGAAAGAAGGAAATTGCAGACTGGTTTCATATAATTGTTGAGAAGACTCCAATTGTTGACTGATTGAGGGCTGTGACTTCTTTGCCACTGTGTGTCTCAGGAGAACCCCCTTTATTAGTGTCAAGGGTTTAGAAAAATTAGTAATTGGACTTTTTAAGGGTTAATTTATTACTGAATCCTTTGGACACATCTAGTATATTAAGACATAATAAGAGGATTGATTAAACCATGCCACTTAGTTCAGTTTGTATAAATAAAGTGAAAAATTAGATCAGAATTCTGGGAGGAAATGGATTTCAGCTTCATTTCATCTGAACTAAGATGGGGCTTTGTTAACCAATCTGCCAAAGTATATGTAATACTTAATAATGATAAAAAATAGGACTCAGGATAGTATGCTGTGCTGAGTATAATTTAATCTTGTATGGTTCATGCTTCATACTTCTGGATCTAGTAGTTGAAATCAGCTCCAGATTTCCTTCTACTGGAAAGGAGGAAAGTGCTAGTTAGTGAGCGAATGCATGCTGACATTTTGACAGATAAAATGGATTTTACTGAACTAAGATTCTACTCTTGTGACCAATTTTTAAACCATAACCCAGGCATTATTTGATCCGTAAGTATGCTGTGGTGTTCTCATTCTTGATACAATTTCCATAATTGTCTTTTCCATCAAATGAAGTCATTAAGAGCCCTGGTCCTTGTTTATCTGTACTGCTAGGATTCAGTGTTTAGAGGCTTGACTTCACAAGCCAATGCTGTTCAGGCTGATCTAGCCTTTGTTTCTGTGACACTACAGATTCTCTCAAGGACTGCTGAAAGCAGAGGTCTGCTTCTGTGACTGGATCTGAGAGAAGGAAACTGCACTGAACAGTCTTTAAGAGTATATATTTCCAGTGTCATTTGTCTTCCTCACAGTTTTTTGTACTTGAGCCCTGAAACCTGGCTCATAGTCCCTGCTATACTAGTAGTTGTTTAACCTCACAAAACCTGTAGGTCTTCACCTTTAAAGCAGAAATAATCCATATTTTACCCATCTCAGAAGAGTGAGAACCAAATGACAGTTGTATGTGGGTATGTTTGTGAAATTTAAGCCATGTAAAGATTAAGATGTTCTACTAGGTGGTGATACACACCTTTAATCCCAGCACTTGGGAGGCAGAGGCAGGCAGATCTTTGATTTTGAGGCCAGCCTCAAACTACAGAGCAAGTTCCAGCACAGCCAAGGCTACATAGAAGGTGTTCATATTTCCGTTTTGATGATTTAAAGTTTGTGCTGCATGCATTGTTTATTTCTGTGTGTGTGTGTGATGTTATCTTTGCTGCTAGTTGATTTTAATATTCACAGTGTCTTTTGGTAATTGTTAGAGCCAACCATCACTGTATCCTGGCTGTACAAGAGAAATTTCATATTTCATAATTTGTCAAATAAAACAGCTTTTACCATTTTGATAGTATGTGGTAATTAGTGGGAGTAGTCACCAGCATTTATCACTGCTCTAAGCCAATGACTTCTTTAAATTGTCAAAATTAACTTTCAAAGTGATACTGTCTCAGCCAACATTTGAAGAAACTTGGACTTGGGAAGGTCTGTTTTGCCTTTTCAGAGCTGCTGGCTGATGATGAACTGTGAAGGATTTTTAACTCCAGAGTGTACTTTCCTCTTCCCTCTCTTTATCTTATACACGAGCCCATTGTTTAATTTCCAGTAATTTTGTTTATAATTCCAGAGAATATCAAAAAATAAATACTTTTCAACATCAAATTAAGAGTCAGACTGGACAGACTTGACTGTGTCTCTCAGTTGCACATCTGTAAAATGGAAGTGAAACAGTGCACACTTAAGGCTAAGCAGGCATCATGTGAGGTCTGGAATATAAAACACTTAGAATATAAGGCAGGAAATACCAGCTGCATTAGAAATAAAATTTCATATATACCATTCTCTCTAGAACTGTCTTGTAATAATACGCATTGAACCTGCTTTTGGCTATTTTTCCCCTTTTATGGAATAAGTATATTAATCAATGATTCTTGACCAGTTGGCATGAGATCTAGAAAAGACAGTTTGATCAACAATTCTTAGTAATTTGCTCTGAATCATTTATGTATACCAGACCGAGGCAATGCAAGAAGCTTTCATGTCACCAGATTTGCTACTTAGCAAAAATCTTGTAACACAACACTGTAAATTTTGTGTGATCAGTAGTTATCATGAATAAACTGCAATTAAATTTCAAGTATAAAAATACTTTATTCTAATCAGTTCTTGGTCTATTCCCCCACAGAAACCAGTGAAGGTGTGTCTTTACAGCTGGGAAACACAAAAGACTTCATTATTTCATTTGACCTCAAGCTCTTAACAAATGGGAGTGTATCTGTGGTTCTGGAGACCACAGAAAAAAATCAGCTCTTCACTGTGCATTATGTTTCAAACACCCAGCTAATTGCTTTTAAAGACAGGGACATATACTACGGCATTGGGCCCAGAACTTCGTGGAGTACAGTTACCAGAGACCTGGTCACTGACCTCAGGAAAGGAGTAGGTCTTTCCAACACAAAAGCTGTCAAGCCAACCAAAATCATGCCCAAAAAGGTAGTTAAGTTAATTGCAAAAGGGAAGGGATTCCTGGACAACATTACCATCTCAACCACAGCCCACATGGCTGCATTCTTTGCTGCTAGTGATTGGCTAGTAAGGAACCAGGATGAGAAAGGTGGCTGGCCAATTATGGTGACCCGGAAGTTAGGGGAAGGGTTTAAGTCTTTAGAACCAGGGTGGTACTCTGCTATGGCACAAGGACAAGCCATGTCTACATTAGTCAGGGCCTATCTTCTAACAAAAGAACATATATTCCTCAATTCAGCTTTAAGGGCAACAGCCCCATACAAGTTTCTGTCAGAGCAGCATGGAGTTAAAGCTGTGTTCATGAATAAACATGACTGGTATGAAGAATATCCAACTACACCTAGCTCTTTTGTTTTAAATGGCTTTATGTATTCTTTAATTGGACTGTATGACCTAAAAGAAACAGCAGGGGAAAAGCTTGGGAAAGAGGCGAGGTCCTTGTATGAGCGTGGCATGGAATCTCTTAAAGCCATGCTGCCCTTGTATGATACTGGCTCTGGAACCATCTATGACCTTCGCCACTTCATGCTGGGCATTGCTCCCAACCTGGCCCGCTGGGACTATCACACCACCCACATCAACCAGCTGCAGCTGCTCAGTACCATCGATGAGTCTCCAATCTTCAAAGAATTTGTCAAGAGGTGGAAAAGCTACCTTAAAGGCAGCAGGGCAAAGCACAATTAGAGCTCAAAACCAAAAGCGCATTCCAGCCCCTTCTGAACTCAAGGGCTGAGCTCTGTGTCAGCGGCAGGACCCAGGAGAGCATTGCACATTTAAAGTGGTGTGTGTCCGGGGGGTTTGTGGGTCACAGCAGTGTGAGAAGAGACCCTTAAAGTTAGTCTTCTGAAACAATTGCATTCCGTGGGTCAGGTGCTTAGAAATGTAGGCCCTGAAAGTGTTTAGTCAGTGTGCTGAACAAAGATGTGATCTCTGCCCTGCTCATCACTTAGGCCTCCATGCAGTCATTCTCAGTCTGTGAAAGATAATGGTAAGTGGCTGCTGCTAGCCTGCTGCTCAGTACTTACCTAAAACTTAGTGTGGAGTGCTTTTAAAATGTGATTATTTATATTCATGCTGAAAGCAGGCTTTTAGAAAACTCTGCTGTACTGCAGTAAACATGTGCGTATAGCCTGGATCGTGGACTGTGTTTTCTCAGTGTTTCTTTCCTGTAGGTTTATTTCTTGGGAAGGAGTGAGCATTTGTTGCATTTCTTCAATTATATATGGAAAATGTTTTGAATTATGGTTTTCTTGAACTATGTATATTTAAACACAACCTGTGTTCAGGTCTCATGGTCACATAACATAAGCACAACTAAAATGAAACTTGTTGACTGCACAAGAAATTACAGACATGCTATGTTTTATGAAACTTGTTCTACAATCAGTAGAAGTCTGATAATCATCTTCCCCACCTCTGCCCCCAGTGCAGTGAGTGTGTCTTTGTCACTGTCTAAACGTTACATTTCATTTCATATTACACTTTGGTGGGTTTGTCCATATTGAGCACAGTATCCAGAACGTTAATTATAAGCCTAAATTTGTGGCAGATGTAATGATTTGAAGCCTACCATCATCTCTTTTAGGACTTTTTCCCCCTTAAAGGAAAATTACTGAGTTAAGTGGTATGTTAAGAGTCACAGTGAAGTTTTTCCTGCCTGGATTGTCACCATCGCTTTGTACATCATTGCTTCTGTCATCACTGTTTCTCTGAAACTTAATTTTGAATGATTCCAGCATTGAAACAGAAGAGATACTACTGTGTCTGCTGACCATGTGCCATTGAATCTGTAAGGGTTTCAGAGTTCTTATGCCATGCACAGTGTCAGCTATAGGGATTCAGGCATTAGGTAAAAGCAACAAGATTGGTTTTACCCTGGTTTTTGTTTATGGTTAGATAATATGGAGATAGTTAGGTAACATGAGTCTCATACTTCCTAGAGACAAACAATGGAGCTTATCCATGCTATCTGTCAGATACATGTTTAAGAGCCAGGTGGATGACTTGTCAACACATTGTACTTCTGTTGAATTCAACTACCAAGTACTGTTGAAACAGGAACACACACACACACACACACACACACACGTATATATATATATATGTATGTACATATATATATTTATATGTATGTGTATATATAATATATATGAGATGCATATACACACATACATAAATGATATATATAAAGTATATCGGCATCAGAGACAGGAAGATCTATACTGAAAATGAAGACACTATTAAACTGTTGAAAAATAAGTATAAACTCCCAGTTTATATGACTACACCATAATTTTGCCTACAGCGAAACCAGTGTGGTCATTAGGTCCCCTAGCTTTTACCTTTGTGGTTCTCACACAAGAGGTGTTTCAGCAAGGTCTGAAGAGGTGTTTCAGCAAGGTCTGAACATGCAAGGTATGAACATGCACATTTGTCTCAGCAATAAAAATGAGGACTCCCTTTTTATTTACAATACTGGTGTTCAAAGCAAGTTTCCCCACCTGGGAGCACTATTCACTCTATCAGATTTGTTATTAGAGTGGTCCCGACTTTGCTTTATGTTTGCATACTGGTCTTCAGATGAGAAGGGTCAGTGAAATCATCATGGTACTGCTTTTGTGACAAACACCAGTGCCTTACCAATATGGTTGTCCTTTTCCACTGAAGAGGGAACGTTTGCTTTTGATGTAGACATGGCAGTTCGTTGCTGTTGCTTTTCCACTGCCTTCCACATTGCAACAGCTACTTGCCTTGTCTTGTGATCCCAGAATTCCCTCCGAGGTCACATTGAGGCTGTGACAGCACTGTCAGTGCTTGGCTTCTCAGGCTTGAGGGTGCTTCTGTCACCTGGGAGTTTACAAAATGAGACTCTAGGTGTGCAGAAAGTCTGCCTGCAAAGTGGGATCTGCAGCATGTTTGACAGATGGGGTGATGCTGCTTCCAGGGAGCTGGGCTTTTGTAGAGGAACACTGCCTGGGACCCATGCATTTTTGCCTCCAGAACATCTACAGCATTTCCTAGGTTTTTAATTCATGTAAATGTTTACTTATCCTGAGTATAGAGAGAGGGGGAGGGTATTTTAAGTTTTTGTTGTGTTTAAAAAAACTTTCCTTTAAAATTTTGGTTTGATCCACTTATCTAAGTTAGCTTCCATATTGAATCTGTTGCCATTTTAGTAGTAAAACCAGCCAAAAGTTTCTAGACAAAGGGCAGGTTTGACCCTTTAGGAGTTATTGTATATAATGGCTTCATTCAAGAGCCATGCAGCATCCATGAGCAAGTGCAGAAATGACACAAGCACAGTCTCCAGATGTGGCGGGACTCTTTCTTTTTTGGTGTACAGACTCTCACCAAAAGCTGCTGTTTTTGTTCTTGTAATTGTTTCCTCGCTTCTCCTCCATTGTACATGTGGGGTATATGCCATGTGTCAAATATGCAATAACGTGTTTACCGGATGCCCTTCTGAAGGGTGGTCCTCTGTAAAGCTGTACAGACTTTGCAGTCCAAGCACAATGTGCACATGTTAGTTTTATATACAGCGAAACTTGATTTTTTCAAATGGAAAGGTATTTTGTTTCTATACAAAGTTAAATGGGTTGTTTGTGCTTAATGTAAAGCTGCTTTATAAAATTGTAAAATAAAGTTTTTATCTTGAAAAGAAACACACTTGGATGTTTCTCATTTTTCTGCTTAGTTTGTGATTATGTGAGGCTAGCAAGCATCTGACCAACATTTCCTGTTGAACCTGCAGACAGGGAACCAGAGTGCAGCACAGGAGCCTTAGTCTGTAGACCCAGAGTACACAGGACAGTTCAGAAAATAAAGTGATACACTGTGCTCAGTCAGGGACTGGACCTCAAGCTGGGGCTCTGGGTTTAGTCATAGCCGAGAATCTGGATGCTGCCTGTTTTCTTTCTGTACTCATATCTTTAGAACGATCAGCATCGCCTCATTCTCTCCTTGGGAAGACTTTAGGTTCCTAAATATGAATCCAGCTTTTAGCTTTTTGTGTGCTGAAATTTTTTGTGTGCTGGAATTCCAGTTGATTACCAGCCAGCTATTAGATTCCAGTGGCCAAACAGGTGTTAACACAAGGCTGTTCTCCTTGGAGCTGACCCTTGTCTTCTACCTTCAGTTGAGAAACAGCTATGTGGTCACAAGCAGTCTTGGACCAGAGCGGATCATAGGTTTCTCTTGCTTTGATTTTGCAATTTGTGACAAAATTAAGGTTTGGCTGTGAAACTTGCAGGGCAGGTCCTCCATACCACAGAGGACTTCATACCTGACGAGCTCTTCTCTGCCTGTGTTCTGGACAGCCCTGACAACAGCTAGGCCAGTCAGTCTCCCAGCAAGAATCCAAAATTGAGTTAGATTTTTTTAAAAAACCAAAGCAAAGGGGAAAAAAAAAACCTACAAAATTTTGGCAGAGCTCCAAGCCCTGGATCTGGTGCATTTTAGAGGGCAATGGAACTCCACTCACGTTCCATAGAGTACACCTGGATTCTTAGGACATCCCCGTGTGCTGCTGTTGACTGGATTTGGTGTCTGTGGCTCGAAACAGTTGAGCGCTGATGAATAATAGTGTCGCCACTGTTGAGGAAATGGTCTGCAGAAGGTACATTTCCTCATCCATTAGGGCTGCTGCAAGAAAATACTGTAAGCTAGGGTAGCTTAAACAGCAAAGATTCACATGTCTCAATTCCAGAAATGGGAAATCTAAAAGGTTGCTTTTCCTTGCTCTTCTCATGTCCTCACATGGTTATCCCTCCAGCTGTTGTCAGAGTCCTAATCTCATAAGGACACAGGTCACACTGGATTAAAGACTATTCCTATGGCCTTGTTTTTGTGTGTACCATTCTGGGGGGGGCGGGGGTTTGTTTTGTTTCTCTGTATAGTCCTGGAACTCACTTTGTAGACCAGGCTGGTCTCTAACTCATAGAGATCTACCTGCCTGTCTCCCAAATGCTGGGATTAAAGTTGTGCACCACCACTGCCCAATTTATCACCTTTTTTAAAGGCATGATCTCCGCATAGAGTCAGACTCTTGACATATTGAGGCTTAAGACTTCAACATGCCAATTTGGGGGCAGGATGTCACAATTCAGCCCATAATAACCATTCTTCACACAGAGTACACAGTAGTAATCATTTGAAAACCAGTGAAGGTCCCAATTCAGGTGTGTAGGAAACATGAATGGAACAGAGATTCCAATTTAGGGCTCGGGCAACAAAGCTGCCTGGTTCTCAACTGTGTCAGGAACTTTGTCTTTAATCCCATAAATTTTAATTCCTTCATAGTACTGTCCAGAAGAGGGATTTTTGTTTTGATGTTTTGGAAATTGGCAAAGCAAACACTAACGTGATGTTTTTAAAATGTACCATCAGAGACAGGATAGATGGCTAAGTGGTCAAGAATACATACTGCTCTTGCAGAGGACCTGATTTCAGTTCCCAGCACACAAGTCAGCTCTGGGGGAGCTGATGTCCTCTTCTGACCTTTAAAGGCATTGCACTTACACACTTATATGTGCTTGGAGACACACATATGCACATAATAAAAAAATAAGCATTTCATATTGGAGGGAAAACCATTAAGAGCACATTCTGATCTTGCTGAGGACCCGAGTTTGATTCCCAGCACCCACATGGTGGCTCACAACTTCCCATAACTCCAGTTCTGGGGGATCTAATACATCCACATGATGCACTCACATGGATGTAAGTAAAACATAAATAATACAACATCTTATATAAACATCTTTTTACACAGAATTTTAGAGCTGGAAAGATGGCTCAGTGGTTAAGAGTGAATACTCTTTCAGAACAATACCCATGTCATTCAGCTCACTACTGCCTGTGACTCCAGCTCGAGCTCCTGTAGCCTCCAAGAGCATTTACATACATAGGGCATACACACACACACACACACACAGAGAGAGAGAGAGAGAGAGAGAGAGAGAGAATTTTTAAGTATGCTAATATAAACTACATTTTGATTTTGAATACAGAATTCAGAGATACCCCTATAGCCATAGAGGGGTTGGAGAAATGGCTCATTCAGCAAAGTACTTGCAATGCAAATATGAGAACTAAATTCACATCCTAGCATGCATGTAATAAGCTGGATGGACACAGAGGCACCTGTCTTTCCTCCCAGCACTGGGAAGGTAGAGACATGAGGATCCCTGGGCTCCCTGGCCAGCCATCATAGCCAGTCATTCAGCTCCAAGTTTAGGGAAAGACCCTGTCTATAAAATTAAAGTTGCAGAAGACACCAATGTCTGCCTTTCACACACCTTTAGGAGCATGTGTGGATCATGCATGTACATAACATATACAGACATGTACACACATATACACACATGCACACATGACAGACAAGTACTTGAAAATTCCAAGTGAGATTTTTTTTTCCTTTAACATACAGTACAAATGCATTATTTAACAGTTGTAGGTCACCCCCTGGACCACATAATGTATATCCAGGATCCAGCAGCAAATTGAGCACAGCTTCCAAGCCTCTTTCTGACCCCAGTAGGGTGAGACATCACCCTCTCAAACAGGGCCTTTCATGTTGCAGGGTTGGAGTAGCTGGTGTCATGGATAAACTCCACACACCTGTGTGCACTGTCTCTGTGAACCAGTCCTGCCTGACACTGTGGTAACTCTGGCCAGAATGGCCTTGGGTCCATGATGGCAGTGAGCTGGCAGACAGCTCCCCACCCCCCATGGCTAGGCTTTGTGGGGTTTTTGTTTATTGTTTAACAGCTTTTGGATATGGCCTTACTATATAGCCCTGGCTTGCTTGGAACTAACTCAGTATGCAGACCAGGTTGGCCTTGAACTCACAGACATCCACCTTCCTCTGCTGAATGCTGAGATTAAAGGAGCATGTCACCACATCTTGCTTTAATAACAAGTTTTAATCCCGAGTTCTCATTTTTATAAATTATTTAAAACAGTCAACAATCTAGGGATAAAACACTGATTTCCATTTTGCCAGCCCATTAAGGATGTCAGGTTAAAATGGATGTGAATTTAAATGTTGTGTCGGTGATGAATTTGAATGTTTGCTGCTCTGTTTCTGGTGAAAAGAAATACATTTACCATCTGGAGTAAGTGATTGATCGCTCCCATATGTAAACTGTACTTCCTGAATGCTAAAAAGCAGCCACTCAAAAGTTGCTAATCCTCCTCCAGGAGTGGAAGGATTTTACAAAATGATAACATTGCAAAAAGTCATCAAGGAGGAGTAACAACAGCAAAGGGGCAGAGAAAAGGATGGTGAGGGATGAGAAACGGCAGCTACCACAGGAAGCACAAGGGAGTACTGTTAGGCAACAAGGAGTTCATGAGCCTCCAGTCAGGAGGATCTGGTGCCTGCCTGGGAATCTGAGACACACACACACACACACACACACACACACAGAGAGAGAGAGAGAGAGAGAGAGAGAGAGAGAGAGAGAGAGAGAGAGAGAGAGAGCTACTTCTAGTGTCTTAAAAAGCCTGATATCCATTGCTTTGGGGGTCAATAGAGGACAGTAACTCCCTAGGGTGAGGTGGAGCCAAATCTAAGTCTTGCCTGTAAGCAAGTAGGTAGCAAGCTGCACGATTTGAATTTGATGTCTGATACTATTTTTAACATCTGGTGACATGAATTCTCTGGAATTCAATTGACTACAGTGGGAAACCCCAAATTCCCACATCCTGTCAAGATGGAGCTGTTTTACCTCCATAGCTCCAGCAGGGGGCACTGGAGCAGGCATCTTACCTCCATAGCTCCAGCAGGGGGCACTATCTCCATGGGACTGTGGCTCAGCTTAGTATGCACGTTTTATGTTCAGCTCCCATTCCCAAGGAGGTGGTAAATTTTTATAATCAAATCCAAGCTAGAGTTGGAATTAAGGCACTTCCACAGCACCTTCCTGCTGTATACTTTCTAGAGTCCTTATGTTGTACTTTGTCTCTGGAGCACTCTAGATGGAGGGACAGAAGCCACACAGAGCCATACTATCACAGAGAAGGGCGGAAATCTGAGCTCTGGGCAGGCAGTTCAATTCTCATTATCAAGCTGCCTTGAGTCTGTTTCAATCTGGAAACGAGGCTGGGGCCCATGGGGTGCATCTTGTCTCTCAGCTTGTTGTGTCAGCCCTAGGCTTAGATCTGAAGGAGAGGGGAAGGGACCTACCCTTCCTTTTGGTCCTCACGCCCAGTGGGCAGGACACCTGCTGGCTCTTGGTGCCTGTGGGACTCTGGGTCATTTTCCTCTCCTGAAGGGTTTCTGTCTCTCCTCTCAGACTAGAGCATCACTCAGTAGCTGTGGGGCTGAGCCTCCTCAAAGCTGCTTCTCCTTGTCTTTATTCCCTTCAAACATGTCTGCTCCCCAGAGTTCTCCACACTGTTTGCTAGTCAATAAGTCAGTCGGGGTCTGGATCAGGGTGAACCCCCAGGGAATACAGCCTTCTGGGAATAAAGAGTCCTCTGCAGGCCTGGTGGGCACCAGAGCCTTGCAGACTGGTCTAATCTGGTCTTTTCTCGGTCCTTGTCCCTCCTGCTCGCCTCCCTACTCCCTTTTGTTTTTCATGTAGCTCATGTTAGCTTCCAACTCACTCTCTGGCTAAGGATGACTTTGAATTCCTAATCCTCCTGCCTCTACATCCCA